AAAAATGTTATCGAAAACGCTAAAATCAGCTCTATAAAGTGAAAGTCGTGAAAAATGAACAATTTTCTAGATAAAACGGTCGCTGTTTAAGCCGCCGTCTTGAATTTTGAAATTTCAACCTCAGAACTATGTAGCCCATCTATTGGCGCATCCAACGCAGTTTTTATTATTTTCCTAGCGGCTATAGTGACTGCGCTAGAGTCCAAAATGTGAATAGTGGGCATTAAATCTTCATACCACCGTAGCTGCCAGGGTTGCCAGGTGTAGACGATGAAAACAGTCAAATGTGATTTCGGGATGCGCCCTCCATCGACGGATACCAATTTTCAAGTTCTAAAATTGTTCCTTTGGCATTTACAATTTTTGGGGTAAATCTCGGAAACTACCCTTAAATCGGGTAATTTTTTTCCACCATACGAAAGAGTCTATAGAGATACACAATCGCTCCATACATGCCAAATACCTTCGGGGTTGCCAAGTCGGTCAAAATCAAGGTTGAATTTCAAACGTCGTTTGCTCTCAGTGTTGCCAGTCGATCGTTCTATTTTTTCCATCGGGTATCTTGAAAAGTTAAAATTAAAATATTTTCATCAAAAAAGTTCAAAAATTCGACAAAAATTGTTTCCTCAAAAATCTCATAAAGTATAAAAAAATTTCAAGATTTTTTTTCACCTGGCAATACTTTAGTTACTTGCCTAAAAAATGTTTCCCCGGAAGTACTCTGACAAATGTCGCCAAGTGCATCAAAATCGGCTCGACGTGAAGACGATACCCAATTTTTCGGATAAAACGGCCGCTGGTTTGGCCGCCATCTTGAATTTTGAAAATCCGGCTTCGTACCGGTGTGGCCAACTCGATAGCGCATCCGATGCAGTTTATACCATTTTCCTAGTGGCAATACCGACTGCGCTAGAGTCGACAAAGTAAAAAATGGGCAAAATTTTTCAAATCGCCGCAACCACCAGGGTTGCCAGGTGACGATGATGAAAATGGTAAAATGTCATTTCGGGCAGTGACCTTCGTCGAGAAAAAGCATTTTTGAAATTCCCAAACGGCTCCTTCTACTTTCCACCTTTTTGGGGTAAATCTCCGAAATTACCCCAAAATCGGGGAAAATTTTCACCTCATAGGAAAGAGCCGGCGGAGACTCACGACCGGTCCATACCAGTCGAAGAGATCCGATGTTGCCATGTGTGCTAAAAGTGCGTTTGAATTTTTCGAAAAAGTGAAAAAATCACAAAATGGCCGCTGTCGGCGCCGCCATATTGATTTTCCCGAGTTTCATAATTTTCCTATAGTCACGACTATATTTGGCGCGACACCTCATTCACAGATTTTCTCCGCTGGCCACCCAGGTTCCCAAACAATTCGGGTTATGAGGGTATGTCGAAAAAAATGTTTTCTACCGTGGAGCCCAGGGTTGTCAGCTCGCAAAAACGAAAACTACCAAAAGTCATAGGGCTCCCCCGGCGCCACACCGCATCGAGTCTATTTTCCGCGAAAAGTGCGTATTTCGAAATTTCACTTTTCTCCCAAAATGTCATAAACTACCACGAAAATGGTAGAAATCGGTAGTAAAGTAGAAAGAGCCCACCGAGCCCCACGACCGACCCATAGAACGCGAATCCGTCCGACGCCGCCATCTTGGAGAAAATCTCACTGGAAAATGGCGATTTTTCATTGCCGAAACAAAATGGCTGCCCCCGCCGCCGCCATGTTGAAGCGCAAATGAAAACTCCCTCTACGTGAAAATTGACTATACTTCCGAGCTGAAGGAGCAAAAATCCCCCTTCCGGACCCACCACAAAAGAAACGACATCCGCCCGAACAGAGGTCGAAAAATGTCAATTTTCGAGGTAAAATATCTCGGCCGCCATTTTGTTTTTTTTAACAAACCTTTTTTCATTGCCATTTTTTTAGCCCACTCTACGACCATTTTGAATATGGTAACCGTAGAGTGAATACTGTAGAAATTAAAAAAATTATCTCGCCGCCATTTTGTTTTTTGGCTGTACCGATATGGTACTTCAACTCATTTAAAAAAAATATAGTCAGTCTCCATACATGAAAATGTCATTTTCCTACTTTAACTACCCGAAAAAAGCATGGAGTGAGTGAGTGAGTCAGTGAGTGGTAATTAAGCTTTATATATTATAGATAAGATACATTGCTGCCATCTAATAGGAAGGTCATTTATGCCTTTGTGATAGAACTTTTGAGGGTCTAAACTGCACAAACTGTGTGAAAGCAATTTGTACTGCCTCCTGGGAAGGAAACTTTTTGTCACGTAGATCATTGTCCAAATCACGAAAAAATGGTAGTCCGTCTGGCCAAGACGGAGGATGATGAATAGTTTCTTACTGCAGTTCCTGAAGGGTTAAAACGGTTTCTCGTGCTGCATGAGGTCTCGCGTTGTCATGGAGCAATAATTGTGAAGATCGATTCATGAGTCGAGGCTATTTTACTGCTAATTTTGCCAACATTCTTCGGAGTTCGGCACAATAGACATATGCCGTTGTTGCTAGACCAGATCGGAGAAAACTATAGTGAATAACACCATGCTGAGATCAGCAAACAGTTTCCATCACCTTTTTATTGGTAAGTTTTGCTTTAGGACACTGTTGTGGAGTTTGACCTGGGGTCAGCCATTGCATTTTTCTTTTACGGTTACAAAGAATCCACTTTTCATCACATATTACAATTCGATCCGATATTCCTTCATTTCTGTACCGATTCAACAAGGCAACACACGTTTCTTTCTGCAGATCAGTCAAATCATGGAGCAACCAATTTTCGTATTTTATTGATTTGACGCAAATGAGTCAATATTGTGGGTAAGGTAACGGTAAACCATGCCGCTGATTCGTGGGTAGTTTGACTAGGATCTAAGTCTTCATTGTGGCTCGTTCTTCAAGTCGAAGTTAAAGCGTTTTAACCAAAATCTCACGATGCGTTCATTAGTAGACCCCTCTCCAAATGCAACATTGATATTGCGGGCTGTTTCTGCCGTTTGCTTCCTCGCCGGAACTTGTATTCAAAAATCAGTCGAATTTTCACAGTATCCATCTTTCTTGTCTAAGCTGGATAACAAAAACAATTTAAATTCTTAATTCAAATGTTTCACATTTTTTAAAAGAAGAACATAATAGAAACCATGTGAAAAAAGTTTCTTTCGAAAACCTCAAACCATGAAGATTCTATGTCGATTTAAGAAACCTATTACAATAAAACGGCAATTTCATCCTTTAACCCCTAATATTAATAACCCCACTGCTGAGGTACAGGCCTATAGATGGAAGTCAAATACTGAGATATGATTGTGTCCCAAGTGGACCTAGTGCGAACTGGTTCGTGTTAAAGACTGCAAATGCAGCAGGCATTAACGGCTTAACGTGCCTTCAGAAGCATGATGGAGCTTGAATAAATTCTTGGTTACCGACCCTATTGTAATAATTTTTTGCATGGCAGATCAAACCCACGAACCACTGCGTCGTCGAGCTTCTCAATCTGTTATCTGTTAATTACATTTATTACATAAGCGTTGAAGTTCAAATCATACAATGGGAACATTAATTTTGTCTGATAACACTGAAAGTAGTTAATCAATATGCAAATGTTCTGATAAACAAAATGTTCTGATAATTCTGCTGAACATACCTATATTTATAGACAACTTTTATGTTGTTCCACCTTAATACATTGGAATAATAGTAGTTTATGCAACTGTCATATAAGTAGGCGATAATAGGTTGACTCGAGTGTTTTAATAGTTAGTATATGCAGTTTCATACACTACTTTATCTTCACTCATAGGATAAATTGAAATTAAACAAAGTAGGTAGGTTACAGTTGCTCATAAAGCGCTATTTTTTTAATCCAATGTAAACACCGAAAATTACACGTGTTAAATAAAAATGAACTGAAATCCTTGACTGCACATGTGCTTAAAAGTATTTTTTTTGGCCGAGCACCAAAGAAATTTTAAAAAAATTGATGAAAATATGTCAAACTTTAGAGGCAAAAGTATTTCAAGGAGCCTAGAACGAATATTTTCAAATAAAATGTATGACACGAAAACATGTTCAAATATCACGTTTAATTTTAACAAATTATTTTTACCTTTAATACATACTTAGTTTTATTAACCTATATATTTGTTTTATTTCCTCGCAAAAAGCATTGAAAAACGTTGTAAGAAACTTTAGCGTAAAATGTTTTTCGAATTCGTGCCAATGAAAACACAAGCGTAGCGAGGGTCAATTTGGCCCTTATACGTAAAACCTTACTTTCCGCACTCATATCTTAAATAACTATTATGATACAGTAGGCGGTACTATAATGAGTTTTATTTTTAATTTTATGTATATGCGTTTATAAAGTGCGTATGTCTTTGAATTCGTAATTCGAATTTTTCGATTGAGTGTACATAAACTACATAATAATGCAGAAATACATTATATTACATACACTTGTGAAAATTTTTAAGGGGTTTTTTAAGCATTTTTCATAATTGATCAAATATAATAATTATAACCAATTTTCATCTTTATCGAAAGTTTTAATATTTGTAAGATCATTTTTTTCTGCAGTTTGGGTGGATTTACTGAACATTGATTAAAGTACGCTCTCTAGTATCGAAAAAGTAGTGCTTGAAAAATACGTCAGTCTTATTAGGTTATTAGTAGCTCAGTGGTTAGAGCAGTCGCCCGGATTGTAAAAGCTCATGGGTTCTAGTCCCATCTCAGAGTGCCAAAGACAAAGTGTATTTTTTAAACAATTTTCATTAAGAATATTTTTCAGTATAGCATTATGAATGCAAAATTGATCCAATAAAATAATTACATTTATGTGAATCATTAATTGCACAATATAAAGAGACAAAAACACTTTATATGAATAAAACCATAAGTTAACACTACCATAAACAAACATATAATTATGAAAACCGACCTTGGTTTTTAGAATAGATTAATTTATGTTAAATTAGATATCTATTTCAGGGTATAACAACGTATTTTTCAAGTAATTGCACAGAGACTGATTCTAATTTGGTAAACGATTGGATGAAGACCAAACGTATTGAGGCATACATATGTCGGACATTTAAGACTGTAGCAGATGATGGGTGTATGTATTTTTACTATTATATTTTATTATATCTACAATAAGTATTTTACCCATTTTCGTAGATTATCTCTATTCAATTCTAATATCTTAATAAACCACTGAAAAAAAAAACTCATTATTAGTTTCTTTCAGTACCCCTTTACACAATTCATCTGGCAAGTGTTGAAACTGGACCGAAAGCGCCACTGACTATGGAAAAGGAAAAATACAAAGACGCTTATTTCCAAATGACACGTGGCGATTACTCGCCATTGCTGAAATTAGTCAACGAAAACCTAGAAATGGCAAAGCGGTATGCATCAAATGATGTGGAGAAGAATATGCTGAAACATTACATCAACAGTTTCAGAGAAGGCGATTTGAATGAGCACAAAGAAGGCAGCAGATATTGGATTAAGGATAAAGGACCTATAATTGAAACGTAAGTTCAATAAGCGTTTAGTTTAAGAGGGCACGTATAAGAAAATTATTGTGAGTTAAAGAAAGAATAAGAAATCTACATTTAAGTGCACTATTAGCATGCATCTTTCTGCCTCCAGTATGCAGCATTAGCACATGTGCACTATTAGCGCGTATATTTCTTTATTGTGAGTAAAAGAAAGAATAAGAAATCTACATTTAAGTGCACTATTAGCACGCATCTTTCTGCCGCCAGTATGCAGCATTAGCACATGTGCACTATTAGCGCGTATATTTCTTTATTGTGAGTAAAAGAAAGAATAAGAAATCTACATTTAAGTGCACTATTAACACGCATCTTTCTGCCGCCAGCATTAGCACACAATAAACAGTTTTTATAAATGTGTATGAGAAACTTAAGAGTAGAATATTATCTAAATAATAATAATAAAGAGTGTATATTTATGTAATAATGCAAGAGTGTTTCGTGTGTAGACTATTTATTTCCAAAAGTGATGCAGTGCGTTAAGCCGGAATTATATTGTAACCGTCCTGCACGTACCAGTTTCATATATTTCAGTGGGAAATGGAACGTAAGACGATGGATGAAGGAGAGGCAAGGAGTGTGTGAATGAAAGATAAGATATGAAAGAAAGATGGCGATTTTTATAAAAGAAATTGTAAAAAATCGTGAAAAATAAAGGTTATCCTGGAAAACATCCATTTATTTGCCCACCTCTCCGCCGACGTCCACATTTCTGTTATCGCATATAGTACTGTAATATTGAACTACTAATGATTTTAGCCCCATACTTCGCCTCGAACGAAACCGATTATCTACCGACTGAGCCTGAAATTTTCGAGTGATTTTGATATTTTATTTTTCTTGTTTTCTATCCGCATTTTTATTTAAATTCTCACATTCAGGTATCAGGGCTTTATAGAAACTTATCGGGATCCGAGCGGTCAACGGGGCGAGTTTGAAGGTTTCGTGGCGATGGTCAACAAGGAGATGTCGAAGAAGTTCGGAGCCCTAGTAGATGGTGCTGAGCGTTTCATCAAACTGTTGCCCTGGGGTGAGGACCTGGAGAAAGACACTTTCTTACGGCCGGACTTCACCAGTTTAGATGTTCTAACATTCTCCGGAAGCGGTATACCGGCCGGCATTAATATACCCAACTGTGAGTATTAATAATGATATTTGATTTGCGCTAAATTAATGAATGAATGAATATCAAATAGTAAAAATTAGTAACGCAGACGCAAACGGCGGTTTTATTGCTAAAGTAACAATTTATATCAGGCTACTCTTGGCCAAAAGAAACTTTGAGTAAAGAAACTGTGGGCTAGTGCATTAAAGAAAAAAAAATGAAGAACATTTATAAAAGTACAAGTACAGATGACGCCAAACAACTTGAACAAATGACCTTGCATGCGCAGAAACCGATTTTAGGCGTCGCGGTATGCGGTGCGGGGCGCGGCGTGCGGAAGTAGGATCGCATCGACCGCGCCAATCCACGCTATTGGTGGATCAGTCAACCATCGCTTCCCGCTTTGTGTTCACGTCTCATCGCTACTTCAGTACACTTGCAGGCAATAACATCACGACCTCAAAATATGTCTCGTCGACAATCAAACACAGTTTTAAAAAGGCAAGCCAGAAAGATGGTATACGATGTGTATTGCTTTTTAAAGAAAGAAGAAACATCCGATTTTGAAACAATGAAACAGACATCGGAGGCTCGTAATTTCTCACTACTTCTATACACGCAGCTACTTACTTCACGTGTATCATTCGTGTGCACGTTTACCACTCAGTCACTCATGCAAATAGGACAGAAAAAATACAGAAATAAATAGTTAACGTAGGAATAAGAAATTCTAATGCATAGGTTTTTTTGCTCGTAAGTGTACATGCGCAAACTTTCCCCCACCACCACACTTTTTGTTCAAGTTGTTTGGCGTCATCTGTAAATACATATGCTTCTACAGACTACAGACAGATAAAACCAAAACAAAACAGAATTGAATAACAGACAATATTATTTAGGAAGATGAGTCCTGCTTGAGGAAATGTTTCTTGACTAATTTAATAAAAGAGTCCCATCCTTTAGTCAAAAAATTATTTCAGTTCTTATCAATAGATATTAAGCGTGCGAATTTGTGCTGATAGCTATTAGCTATACTGTATGTGTTTAAAATTATGTGATTGAGGAACTTTTTAAGTGAGCAACATCCAATTTCACTAACCTAAAACAAGGCACAGCTTAGCTAGGAAATGCCTAATCTTACGCATCGCCTAAGCCGATTTGTGTAATAAACATTTTTTCTTATATCCCTTGACACATTTGTGACCTACACAAATGCTTAGCATGTCATAATGCCGGTAGGTTATTCCTAGTCAATGTTGAAATGCATTTTTACTTTAAGCGATTCTAAATATTTAGGTGACTCCTAAGTTTCGTGAAAATGGGTATAAATAATATAGGTATGGACAGGCAAGAACTAGGATGAATTTTGGAAAATGATAAAAATAACTTTTAATAAACTTTGTTTTCAGATGACGAGATCCGTCAGAACGAAGGTTTTAAGAATGTTTCACTGGGCAACGTCATTCCTGCCGCCTACAAGGAGTCTGTTATACCTTTTTTGTCGGAAGTTGACAAGAAGCTATTGGAGCAATACAGAGTCTCTGCATTTGAGGTTATAATTGAAAATAATTAGACTTTTGATGAATGTTCTAGATTATTATTCAACTACTATCGACAGAGTACCTATTCAGTTACTAATATTCAGACACTATTCTTAATACTAACTATCAAATATCATTCATTTGATGCACTCCCTGTTGAATTACATGTGGTTAAGTATATATATTTTACGTGACTAAAGGCTAATAGTGTGATTAGTGTGAATGGTATTTCACTTTTAAAGATTCATAAAATTGTATTTATTTTATAGTTACATTTCGTAGGTTCAAGTTGGCCTTCATGAACTACTAGGGCACGGCAGCGGTAAACTTCTGCGTCAAAACGCCGACGGAACGTTCAATTTTGACAAGGAAAAGGTCAAGAATCCGTTAACAGGTAAATGGATTGCGTATTTTTTAATAAAGAAAACTATAGCTATGAGCTTTTCAATGTTAATACTCTGTAATCTTTTTTGTTTCGGATACATCTAATCATAGAAAAAAAAGATCAAAATATTGAAGATCAAAGAATTTGTTGTATTTCATGAACTTTAAAAAACCGACCGGGAAAAGAATAAAGGTTTTACAATTGACTAAGAATGCAAAACTTTTTGATCATCTCCTTTTTTTATATTGTGCATTACATACTCTTCGCATACGGCACATCATCGGTCTAACGTTTGTTATTTTATAACCTCTTGCGATCTAAATGTTTTGGAAACCAAATATTTATACTTAATCGTTAACACATACTTATTCAAATCTAGAATTTTTTTTATGTTTAGTGAATAGTGTGGTATATACACCAGAATTGGCTACTTGATTGTTTTGGGAAAACAATTAAAAAAATGTCATAGCAGATTTATTTTTATCCAAAATGTGTTATTAAATAGGGGAAAATGTCATGATCATCATCAGCGTCCCCACTGCAGAGAAAATAAATAGTTAAATTGTATTGAGAAAACAATCAGTGGCATGACATTTCCAACCATGACGTCCCGTTTTAATAAAAGTTTAGTTTATTGAAATGTGACGTCATGGCCGTCCGCGTTTAGGTTCTTTTAAAGCTGCAGATTATAAATCGCAAGTTAATTTTGCAAAAATTTAATATACTTACTTTAAATAATGAATGTTTACCATTTCCAATGACTTAATGTAATAACTGTCAAGTAGCCAAATGCTATCACAATTTAGATAATGCCAGTTTCCAATGCGAAGGTATTTGGAGTATATAATTGTAATTGCTTGATGTACAGGTGAATCCATCACGAGTTGGTATACAGAGGGGGAAACGTATGATAGCAAGTTCACCACTTTGGGCTCTGCCTTCGAAGAGTGTCGAGCGGAAGCAGTAGGGCTCTACCTGTCGTTAGAGCCACAGATTCTCAAGTATGCTCAAAGCTTTATGCCCTATTTTATAAACGACCCACTGAAATAGGTTTATTTTATAACATATTCATGAAACTCAAATTGTTTAAATTCACCCGGTCTAATACAGGAAAAAATTATAATCAGTACACAAATTTTTATCTATGGTTTAATATGAATAATAGAGTACATTTATGAAGCCATTATTTTTAAGTTTCATGTAAAAATGATAAAATTGACACTTTTAAATATCAAGTAGTAATCAGATTGTACAGCAGGTGCGTTTGCTGTTGTCTTTTTTTATGAATATGATCTACCATATTTTTCTGTATAGATAAAGCTATTTTCTATATTGACCCCGTGACCGAAATCTATCTTCTATCTATCTATCTAGTTTAACACTATGAGATATAAGTTAATGTGAAAATGTTTTTCATTTTATATCCTTTGTGTTTATTATATAATTATTATAAAACGAATACTAAAGTTAATTTAAACCATTAGCCGCCCCAAGCAAATTTAAAGTGACAGAAAAGCAAACTTCTAGTTCAGACGTGTTGACTTATTTTGGCCGGCTAGCGTTTTATTATGTGGTACTAAAGTTAGTCATCGTATTTAGCGTTTTGTACCCAAATGGTAAAACGGGAACTCTATTACTAAGACTTAACTATCTGTCTGTCTCCAGTTTTTATAGTTGAAATTTTCACATATTTCTATTGCTGCTTCAACAACGAATATTAAAACCCTGAATAAAATAAATATTTAAGGAGGCTCCTAAACAACAAACGTAATTTTTTTGTGTCGCTCGATATTAATAACGACAACAGGTAAATTAAATATTTACAGGTATTTATATAGTAACTTAAAAAATAAATAATTAAATTAAAACTAAACAAATATTTAAGAGAGGCTCCATACAACAAAGGTGACAGCGTACGGAACCCTTCGTGCGCTTGTCCGACAACCACTTTGATATTTAGTTAATATATTCGTATGTAAAAAAAATATTGTCAATCTCTTAGGATATTCGGTTATGAAGGCCAAGAGGCGGAAGACGTGATGTATGTGAACTGGCTGAGTCTACTATGGAATGGCGCCGCTAAAGCCACTGAGATGTACCAGCCGTCCACTAAGTCTTGGCTTCAGGTATTGATATTTTTTCTATTTAACTTGCCTCGTGAGGAGCTACGATACGTGTTAAGCAGCTTTCGCAAGGGCTGGTCATAGGATGGGTGACCATAAAAATTATTATCTCTAACTCCTCCGTGCTTAGGAGCGCACGTTAAACCGTCGATCCCGGCTGCATTTGTAGTCGTTAACGCCCACCAAGATATAAAATCCCTAAAAGCCAGGAATATTGTAGATTATTTGAAGTCTACCAGGCTAAAGGAGTTACTATAGCTCTGGCGGCGAGTCACAATAGATCTTCAAAGTCGCAGTGACTACAGTTCCTCAGGGAAATGCGTAGCCCCTTACAACAGCAAAAAATAATAATAACGCCCACCAATCCGCACTAGGCCCATTCGCGCTATTCGATTCCATTCATAGGGAAGGCCTAAACCCAGCAGTTGGGGATATTAATATCCTTGTGATGAAGATTAAACGTACCTCATTATTTTATATTTTAATTTTCTTTCTTTGTCGAATTAGGGACATAACCTAATGTCATTTCTATTTTGTCTCAAAACTTATTTCATGATAGTAGTTAATAACAGTACAAACATTAATTGTTCCAATCCCTTTCTTTCTACTTCTAATATATTCTAATATCTAATAAATAGTTCTAATATATAATTTGTATTATGTTGCAGGCACACGCGCGGGCGCGTTTTGTACTGATGCGTCTATTGGAATTAGAAGGGAACGGCATCCTCACAATCACAGAGTCAGACCCGGGAAAAGATCTTCTACTCACATTAGATAGAAATCGCCTTCGCACCGACGGAAAGAGAATACTTGGTATTGATTTTTTAATGGTTTTTTTTTTTCTTTTTGTAGTGGTAATTTTTATTATAAATGCGGTTTACATAGAAGATTCAACAACGTTTAAGGACCTTGTTACATTTCGCCTGTGGTTTTTTTCCTAATTTGGTCATTTTGGACGTTCTTATTCTCGGAATGACAAGAGTTTTTACTAATCGATTAATGCAAAATAACTATTGCCGTAGTTCGTAGCGACTTTACTTTTTGTAATTTGCGCTTAACATCTTAATTAAACCCAAATTTACATGGACTGTTAATAAATACGCGTTGGCGCTTTTTAGGCTCCTGGATTGAGCCGCTACTACAAACAAATGAAATAAAAAATAATAATGTTATCTCTTATATAATGGTATAGTTCGTAGCAGCCTCGGAATTTCGAAATAACATTGGATAAATAAAGAAATCCAAAATCTTATAAGCCAAAAACTGAAAGTAGCTTTAAGTTAATATGTGAATTTCTCCTATTTACTATAACATTATTGACCATAAGAATAATATCTATTATGACGTAATAGAAAAAAAAAATTGTCCGGCCATGTAGGGAGTTTGTTTGTATTTGAGGACCTAAAAGTTGGGTCCTATTACAAATACAAACAATTCTAGGTCAATACTACGCCAAGGAACATTGAATTACTACATTTTCAGTTTCATTTTGCCTTTCCGAAACTAGAAATAGTTTCTTCGTGTTATTCTGATATAGGTATATTTTAACTAGGGATATTTAAGTAATACAGTAATAATACTTAGATAAATATTGTCCCTGGGTTTAATATTAAGTGAAAATAAGACGTACTATCCGCATACTTTACTAAAGACTATTATTTTGTGCTGTTAGGCGAGTTTCTGGTGAAGCTGCAGACTATAAAGGCAACAGGCGACGTGAGCAGCGGCGAGGCGTTATTCAATACTTACTCGAGCGTGACCGATCCGTGGGCCCGCTGGAGGGATATAGTGCTGCTACATAAACAGCCCAGGAACATATTCGTACAACCTAACACCATGGCCAAAGGTCAGTCTTACCTTTGAAGTCAGTTCTATTTAAAAAAAATAATATCTATTTAAGTAACGGAAACATTATTTTTTCCAATCTTATCGACATGCCTTGTCATTTCATTGTCTTGTCAGTTTTGTGTGCACTCTTAACAGTAAAAAATGTCTGACAATCATAAAAAAATTAAGATTTTTCTTTATTTTAGAAATGTAAGAATTGATTAAATGTGAAATTTATGCAATTTAAATAAAATAAACTAATATTTTATTGCATTCCAATCATTTTTTTTTTTCATTATTTTAAATATTTTTGTTAAAACCAATGTGAACATACAATTTCATACAAAAGTACAGTTGTATTTTCACGAATTTTAATGGGACTCCCTCGCAAACAAAATAAACAGAATCAATAAAGTCGCTCTACTATTGAAATGATTTTATTATTGACTAAAAAATTGTCAGCATAGCGTTATGAATGCATAATAATAATACATTGTTCTTGTTCCCAGGTGATACTGTAGAACTGAAGCGGTACCCCGCGAGTGCGGAGGGCATGATAGCATCATGGGTAGAACGCTTCCCCTCCACGGATGTGGACGATGTTCTGGAGCAACTGGCCGAGGCAGACGCCAAATATTTCCAAGATTTACAAACGTTACTCGTGTAAACGACTAACCACAATAAACACTGCCACTTTTATATTACCGTCTTTTATTCATTACGATTACGTTTGTATAATAACTATAGTCTATTCATCTTCCTCTGAGACAAAATGTAAACAAACTGGAAAAAGGTTCTTTAATATATCAAAACATAAATGCATTTAGAATTTATTAAAAAAGAAAGTGACATTAAAAATACCTAAAATTGAAGCTGTTCCCAAACATTGGACGTATTATAATACTACTAAATTGAGGAGTAGTGATAAGAAATATTTTACGTAGAAACGTGAAATTTTGTAATTAGTCGGGTTATACCGGCCATTTTTACTCTCGATCAACTCGTTGACTCGTGCAAAATACTTTCGTTAAATTCTTGTTATTTGTTTATTCCAGTTGTTAAGTTTCTTGTTTTCTGTTATTGCTAAGTTTTAAGTTAAATGAAATAAAATCTCTTTTAAATGATGCTCTAAAAAGGCATTTTTTTAAAATTAATGGTATCATAGATGATTTGGTTGACCGTTTTGTGATAGAAGTTGGTACGACTAGTTCCTCAGAGGAAGACGAGGAAGATTCTGAATAATATTATGTGACTCTTACAATTGCTATTTGTAAAAGAAATAAGACTTATTGTATTGCATACCTACCATACAATAATTTGTCCCATTAACAAATTTTATTTACATACCAACATCAATAAAAAAGTTTGAGAAACATTGGTTTGTTTGTTTACATTTTGTCTCAGAGGAAGTTGAATAGACTATTTTCCGTAAGAGCCATCTTTCTTATTCACAAAAGAATACTACATACCATCTTTCTTATTCACAAAACAATAGTTCTTAGGCGTCCCGTTTCGTCTTTACCAGACTGCAGTCATTATCATCAGCTTGTGTGCGTGTTCTAAGGTTTCAGATGAATTCTTGACTATTTTACAGTTCGTTTCATATATAAACAAGTAGTTATGTCGCTGACGTCAGTCCGACAGCAAAATGGCTAAGAGTCCGTGTAAAAAATTAAATCTAACGGGTCTCGCAAAATACGTGACGGAATTTCCGTCTACTGTCTATCTATATAAAAATGAATGTACGCACGTAACTTCCGAACGACTGCACCAAATTGGATGATGTTTAAGATCAAATTAAGGTTAACATTTGTCTATGATAATAAAATTTACTCACTTTATTGAATCTTCATTTAGTTGAACCCTGTTCACATTTTTAAGTTAAACGGTTTTATTTTAAACAGAAAAATGTTGCATGCATATAAATATACTAAAAGCTAAAAAATAAATTGAATGGCTACAGTTATGGGCACCATTATGTATACATTGTTACATTTTCAAAATAAAGTAATCCATAAACTACTCATTTTGTGGATATCTATGTTCACATAAAATCCTGACAATGATACTGTATTATACTTACCAAGACCTTTAATTTGATACCCATATTGATGCGATTGAAGAAAAAATTACATTATCCGCCATTTTGCAGCGGCGGCCATCTTGAATTTTGATTTTGTATAATATCAAATGGCATGTTAAGGAGAATATAATTCATATTCTCCTTAACATGCCATTTGATATTTATATTGATGGGATTAAAAAAAAATAAGTTGTCCGCCATCTTGTAACGGCGGCCATCTTGTATTCAATTGTGTTGTCACCAGAATCAAAGGCGTATACCAAATATTAGATCAATCAGTTGATGGAAAGAGGGTGAAATTTCAATTATTAAATTTTACCCACCACGAAGGAAACAAACGGGGTAAGCAAAATAAAACCGTTTAAAAAATGATGACCAGAACCTACTGCTGAACCAACTACTGATGCTGCTGGTGTGAATAGAGTTCTTGTTTGCCAAAAGAGATCTATCAGAATTATAGACGGTTTACAAAGACCAGCATTAGCACGAGTGCATTTCGCAAAAATCCAATTATGACTGTAATAAATGTATTTATATTTAGATCATTGTTACAAATTCACAGATGGAAATAGTTACGAATAGTTACGAATGTCCATCACTACAATACAGGAAATAAACACAAATGTGTTATACCCAAAGTTAGATTACAGAAAGCTTCAAATCTAGGCATGAGTTTAAAAATTAACAAAGCTGCCTTTGATTTAACCATTGATTTAACAAAGCTGCCTTTTGAAGAATTTAAAATTGAAATTAAATTTTTCTTTGAAAGATCCATTTTATGATGTACTTGCTGTGTTCACTTTGTAATATGTAATGGCAGCGTGATATTTTGTAAGATTGTTTGACATTTAGTACACAAGCGTTTATCACGTTTGTGTAAAATGCTCTGAATTTTTGTTATTCTTTGTATTTATGACATGATATAATTGTATTATGACTCGCCTAAGTTGCGTAATGTACCAAAGGGCAAATAAAAGATTGCATTGAATATAGTTACGATAATAGATGTGGGCGTTGCTTTCCTGTAAGCAAAATGTATGATTAAAATGAAAGCCTTGTGATCAACTATTATAATTTATTCACATTCAATACAAAACGTGTGTGATTGCAAATTTAACATTATCGTCGTCGTAACAATCACAGTATAGTGTTATCATGCAACAACCATGACTAACAAGAGTAATATTAAAAGTCACCACACACTTAATAAATAGTTTTGAGATGATAAAATCAATGACAAACTCATTTATATAAAAATTATTGCTTACAACTCGTCTCATTATCCAACAAGCCATGTATTGGCTTGTTTACAGTATAATATAGAAAATGGCAACAAAACGTTATACAAACTCTGTACTAATTATTTTTTTATTCGGCATATTAGATTCATATACATCTAAGTAACTGAAAGAAAACTTTATTAAAATATAATACATGTGTGAGTGATTCTATAACACGTCCAATCTATAAATACAAGTTATTTCTAACGAAATAATCTAAGCACCGCCTATTTCGATTACTGTTACAGTTTGACTTAGCTTTCAATACTATAATCGTTTATAATAAAAAGTAAACTTAAAGTTTGACTTAGGGTCTCATAAAATTGTAAAATTATATTAACTATGAAATAAAAAATAACCATATTGAGTTAAACATTTGTGCAAACACACACATAAAATCGTGGAATTTCACCATATTCCATAAAATGGACAATTTATCAAATCCAGTCACTTATGTTTTATAAAGGCACATAAGAATTAATTTACAATTAACACTTAAAAACGTTATCCTTTGCAAAATAGAATTTTAAATAGTCTGTAAAATATAATAAATATTGCAAGAATTATTCCCGTCGAGCCCGACAAAAGCTGTATCGTTTGTATGTACGTATGTAGTCAGTCTGCTGTTCGAACATGATGTATTTGTTAATATGTCATATGTATATTAATATATTATTTATCAAGTTCATTCAAATAAATATCTAACATTTTATTTCAATGAATCTGTGAAACTTACTCTATATATAGATAACTATAGATACTCAAAATACTGTAATATTACTTGTCAAATAATAAGTTTCACATTAGCTTATATAAACATGTAACTATAAAAATGGCTATTTAGTCGTGATCGTATCCCTACAATATTTCGCATTAATAATCGTTTGTCTTCACACATTTTAAATGCGCAATGTTTTTAATTATATTAAATCTTATTTAATTCACTAGATTTTTTTTTCTTTATGATGTATTCCTAATTTCTTTTGTGCTATTCTATAGCCGTATCCTAAATTCAATGGATTTCTATACAATTTTTCTAGTTTCCCTTATATTATTTATATAATAATAAATTAACAACTCAATTAAACCTTGAAGATCTATCGATAATAGTTCAAATTATCATCTTTCAATATTAACAAAAATTAGGCACTAAGTCAAATTACTTATTTTTACGAGATTTTTCTAAGATTTTATTATTTCTTCCAGCAATAATCTCTTACAGTACTAATGAGCACAGACTGCGTGAGATCGATTTTTCGATTGATTTATTAACGCACGGAATAAGTAAATGTTTAGATATTAGCGATATTGGCTATGTTAACTATTTGGCAATATATTTTATATTGCCAATATGAAAAAGAAAAATGAGAAAGTCAAAAAATGTTATTACAATACAACAATGTATTAAGGCAAACGATTATAGATTTGTTTGGATACACGACTAATAACTTACGAGATTTCGTTAGAGATTCATCAAAATGAGTATGCGAAACTATGATATTTGCCACTAGAGACAGTCTTACAGCAACTATCCGTTTTGTTATAACAGATATTACCCCACCACGCGTTTGAAAAAATGTCAAAGGACAACCATGAAGAGATTTAATTAAGGAAACATTTTGTTGCTAAATAAAACGTGGAAGATGACATTCAATAGTGTAAACTAGAAATGTGGTAAACGAGTTTTTAGTTAGTGTCTTGAAAGAAAAAAAAATGCTTTTATAAATCACAACACAGTTTCGTCGTTAGTAGCGAGCTTCATCAGTAGTGCCTCTCAGTCAGTTTTCTCAGAGCGTTCTGTACGGTCGCCTTCGCTTTGAGGTGAGACATTGGATCTGAAAACAATTTGTCACGATCTCATATTCGATACATTATGTACATAGTAATACGTCTTTGTGTCTGTATTTCTATACGTTAAGTGTTGAATGATAGGCTGTGTATTTCGAATAGAATAAGATTTCATATTTTACTACGAAGTCATTAATTTGTGCATGTTTTTACTGTAGCTAAATCAATGTCCGTGTATTTATGCAAGAATATAATGAAAATAAATATTGTGCAGATTAGATATTAAGTAAATGTATGTTCTATCTACATTGCAGAAGGGCACATTATACAAAAAGATACTATACAGTTCGACGCCTCTATAAATCCTTGGTATACTAGTTCTTTTTAAAGCATTAGTGTTGTAAAATTTAATTCGAAAGCATTAAGCGTGCACAGAGTAAAATCGTATTATCTTTCACGAAAGGGAAGTTATTGTGAATTATTTACGTAACTCAAAGAGAACAAAACTAATACACACCTTGGCAGTTTCTCCTTTTCGATGTCGGGTTTTCTAGTCACGCTGATAGATATATTTTTTCTATTTCGTATTTTTTCTAGTATATTCTCCGGGCTAGGCTCCTTTTCGCTTTCTTTCAGTATTATAGCTGAATTTCTAGTTCTCTTCGGCCTGTATGTAGCGTAATTCCCCGGAGAATACATCGACAGAGTTCTATTATATTTTTGTGGATCTCTGAGAGGACCAAGGGTAGATTCTTCAATACCGTCAGAATTTTCCAGCAATGATTTAGTTCTTGAATATCTGTGGCCTCCGTATGACAATGGTTGATCGTAATCCAAGTAGCTTCGACTACCAGGACACTTCCTAAAGTCATTGCGGTCGAGAGATCGATAGGTATCGATTTTGTCGTTTAATCCGTAATTTTCGAACCTAGAATTATTTCTAGTATTTACTGGTAGATCGGTCAACAGAGATCGGTACCTTTCCGTGGAGGGAGATAGATCTGATGCGATGGAATACCCTGGAGACAAGTCATATACACCGAGGGGTGGTGATGTAGGTGAAGCGTCATATTTCATTTCTACCGGTGGGGAGTGTATTCGTGCCAGAGGATCGTATTCCGCAGCACCGGGTCCAACTAAACTACTTTTTCTTCTCGCTTTCTTTTCGTTAAACCTGGAATAAAAACTTTTTCTTCGTATCCTATCGATGATATCGTCCTTTTCTGGTGATACTGACCCACGACCGCGTAGAGAATTGTTAGCCGTGGTATCGGAAGGCGACAAAGAATGTTTACCGACACTTTTATCTTCTACACTGAGATCAGACTTTAATTCGGAATTGGATATAGTAGATCTACTCCTCGATCGACTGCGTGTTTCTATATTCATATCGTTGTTTTCAACCAACCTCTCGGGTGCTATGCTGATTTTCTTTTCTATATTTTCTTTCTTTTCAGTCTCCTTGTCTTCTGCAGAATGTTTTAGCACTTGCGGTTCTATCACAGGATTTGTAGGAACTATTTTTTTTACTCTTGGCAATTTGGAGAAGTCTAATTTTAAAGTATTTTTCAAGTTTTTAGGTTCAGTATCTCTTTTAATTTCGGCTCGTTCGTCATTTTCAATAGCCGCTGGCACAACGTTATCACTGGTAGTCCTGCCATATTTATTTTTACGACTTAATCCATTCAATAGTAACGAGGTTGGTCTCCGAGGTTTATCTTTATCGAGAATATCTAACGGTAGCTCTGCATTTGTTTGTATTTTACAATCGGCTATATTCTCTTCTAGGTTTTCACTTTGAGACTTTTCTACAGATTTCACTGACTTTTCTTTCGGATCGAATTTTTTAAACAACCCTAAGACTTTAGATACTGTTGTTTTTGTATTGCTAGTATTAGGAGTATCCAGTGCGGCAACGTCAGTTAATGTTACAGCTCTTTTAATAAGGTTAGATTCAGTAGGAGGTTCCGGATTAACAGGTACAGATTGCTCTCTTTGGATTCTTTTTAACTTTAACGCATCACTACTTTCTGTGGTTATATTTCCATTTTCTGAACTCTTTTCTGGAGAACTAGATTTTGCCGAGGTAAACTTTTCTAATTTATGACCTAGAGATTGGAACATAGATTTCTTTTTTGTGACAGTCGTAGGTTTATTTCCATCTTCGGGAACTTTTTCTTTAACTTTCTTTGTCACTTTTTTCTTTTCAGGTACACTTTTGGCATCTGTTGAATCTTGGTTGCTTCCCACATCAGCTTTTGATTTTGAGGAAACTTTTTTAATTATTTTCTTTTTTACTGTTCCTTTCTTTTCACCACTATCGCCTTCAGTTGCTTTAGCTTTGGCGTCTTCTTTTTTAGTAGAGGTATTTAATATTTTAACAGTCTTATCTTCTACTTCGATCAAATCTTTATTTAAATTATCCTTAACAATGCCATTAGCAACGATGGAGCCATTCTCTTTGCTAGGTTCTAACTTATCATTATTTTCTTCATTTATTATTTTATATTTTTTAAGGACAAGACTGTCACTAGTGGATTTTTTATTATCGAAGTTAGATTCTACTTTGCTTTTGACGGATTCACCACTGCCAATACTCTCTTCGGTTTTCTGTGTTTCAGACTTTTTCATTGGTAATGTAATACTAAAACTAACTTCGACATCACTCTTCATCTGGTCATCTTTTAGTTTAGAATTAGATGCGGTTTCTTTTTTATTATTATTGCGATTTACATAAACTTTTTCCGGAGACGGGCTACTCGTAGGATAACTCTTCGGTCTCGTCAATTTGGATTCCTTTTGTAAACTTGCATCTTTTATTTCATGTCCTTTGTCAGGACCGTTTCTCGTAATAAAGGACACCGGTTCTTCAATAGATTCTTGATTTTTAACGGGATAACTTTTTGGCCTAGTCAGTTTCGATTCTCGAGTAGAGGAACAATCGATGAAACGTGAACTCGATCTCAATTCTCCCGCGTCGCCGCTCATCTTTCTGTCCGGCGAATTTCCATGGGGGGCATCCGCCGCGGTTTCTTTGATATTATCTAGAATGGGGAAAAACGGTGTGTTCGAGCGGCTCCTCTCCTTGTTGGTTAGAAGCGACACGGGCGATAGACACTTTTTAAACGCTGGATCGTCCCGGAACGTCGGCGGGGCGTCGCCGTAATCCGACGTCGGACTTCTCACGCCCGGGGATTCGAGCGATCTGTTCTTTTTCTCTCGTATCTCGCGCAAAATTTTCTGCGTCTCGAGCTCCTTTTCTTTCCGATGCTTCGCGTAAACGCTCTCGTCCGGAGGGGAATCGAAAAAGTCCGATCTCAGAAACCTGGAGACCCGGCGGCGGGGCTGGTCGCCGGTGAGTCTCATCGAGTGGCGGCGGAGGCCGAGCCCCGTTCCGCCGTATGCCGCCACGTAACTCGGCTCCGATAGAATGCTTCCGTCTGAAGAGTACGAGTCGTCCAGGGACGACGCCCGCTCTGGCGTCAGGTACTTGCTGAGGAGGGGTCGATCGGGGGTGATCCGCGGAGTCACCGTCGATCCGATACGCGTCGACACTGGCTCCGGCTCGATCGGCGGTGCCAGGTCCCGCACAGGCGACGACCGCCGGCGCAGCCGCGGCAGCGTGCAGAACTGTCGCACCGAGTCCACGTCACCAGTCGTACGGTCGGGGGAACGTAGCCGGTGCGACGACAACGACGCCTCGACTTCGGGCCGCGGCGACGGAGGTTCAGAATTTTCGGGAGGGGCGGGCCGAGGGGAAGGAGATTTAGATTTAACAAGAGGCGCGGGTTCGTCGGTTTTCATCGGGGTCATAGGGGCGTCCTCGTCTGTCGGAGGCGATTCTGGTGCAGGGGCTCGGGGCGCGGGCGTTTGAGGGGCGGAGGCGGGCGCGGGTGCGGAGGCGGAGGCGGGCGCGGGGTCGTGCAGGGAGAGGGTGCGGCGCAGTCGTCGGGCGGCGGCGGGCGGGAGGCTGGCGAGGAGCTGTCGCTGCAGGCGGCGGGAGAGCGCGGGCGTGAGGCCGGAGAGGGCGCGCATCTCCTTGTCAGACAGCCGGATCGAGCTCAGGTCGAGGTCGGACAGGTCGAGCGCCTCGGCCGCCTGTTCTTTGCCGCCTCTCTTCCTACCACCTGGAACGTAACCGAAAGACACGCGTATCGATCGTGCGGGAGGCGCGCGGGGCCGGTGTTCGCGCGAGCCAGCCGGGCCTCGTCCGGAGCCCCGGGTCTCGTAGAACATACGACGATTAATGCGAACGTCGATGCGGTCTGTTAATGGTCGATTAGTATCTAGGAGCTACGCACTGAGTGATCTGATTAGGTCAAACTAAGCGTTGAGGATGCGAAAAACGGAACACAAAAAAAAATGCATTAAAATGTTGCTTTCGACATTGCCATTTACCAGAACGCTCGAGGGGACCGATCGCATAGGCACAGTATACCACGATATATATAAAGGCATCTCTATTCTGGTAAAAAGAGCGCGACGTACGGGTGCGAAACACAAAATGAAAAGAAAACACATAAAATTATGAAGAAATAAATAGAGTTTAGTACCTATTCCTGTGTGGCGTTTGTGGCGGGTTTGTGGTTGGCGCTGGTGCCGCTGTGAAGTGAAGATTTGGTCGGAGCATGCAGTGTAACGCGCAACCCAACTGCAACCACACCAACACAACCTCACTACCGCTGCTGCTCCTCGCCATCAGTATTAGGTTTCCCTCTCTTCCCCCCCAAAAAAACCCCAACCCCGTTCCCCGAGAGAGCGACACGCTTGTCCTAGTTTGGCTGCAGATAAGTTGTCTCGCTCGAGAGCGCGGCGTGTCATAGCGCACGTTTCATGAATGCATAGGACATTCGTACGAGTGACGAGTGATCGTACGATAACATTAAGTGCTACCACATCCACTATCTACACATTTATAATATGATCACGTTCCAAACTAATCGATTAACGGTCGGTCTTTAAACGACATTGCGTCGAAGTTAAAATATGGCTGAAAATTATATTGACAGTTTAACATTAAAAATATATTTATTACTATACAACTGTATTGCCAGAGGCGATGCGACAAATGAAATGCCTTTTCGCATTACATGCATTTTACTACAAGATGAATTGAAAAAAAAAAAAACTTTATGATTTTCGATAGCGACGCAACATTTTCCTGCTAGTGTTAGCGAGTAGGAGAAAGTCAACACCTGCACAAAGAATGCATTTTGAATACAAATATAACACTACAATGCAAAAAAGGTTAAAACTGTTGATTAATATTAAAAAAAAAAAAACTGTTAATGGAGTCAAAAACACACAGTTATACAACGGACTATTGGATGCATAGTCAATTATATACGACACTACGCACGGCAGTATTGATGTGGAAAACGTCGCAAATATCAGACACGTTGGTAATCGATTTGAGTGTGACGCGGTTCTGAGATCGTGTAATGATCGACAGTTAGATAAATTTTTAGTGCAAGCTAGCTTTGTTGTGAGTTCTGTAGCCGGGCAGCCCGTCCGAGCGCTAACTACTTGCGTTTGTGCTAATGTACAATGAATAATTTACATGCTCCATTTATTTTGAAAAGCTTTATTACATAGATCGTTATACTTTTACGAGACATTATAAAAAAAAAAGTATATCCATATCGCATCGTCTGCGTTCTTTTCCAAAAAACGCTCCAAAAAAGATTTTATATACATAATAAAACAATAGGATTATTTATACAGTTATTTAAGATAACAAATGGAACAAATACTATATTTATTTAGTTTTGTTTGAAATAAAAACTACTATAAAAATTAAATAAAAAACACCACAATAATGGACGCGATATCGCTACCACTGATCGGAATAGGTAGATTGATTTTTAGTACTTGTATTATATGTCTCATCCATAAATCTATGTCTTATCCATGTTATAAGCATCATAGAAAGAATAAAAAGGATAAGACATTTTCCTTCTACTGCCATTACTTCTACATAACCTATTGCTATTGGGTCCTATATTATATTGCCTGAAATTATCTTTAAAGCTTTTATAGCTTATGATTAAAGGAATAACTTTCAAATCGGTAAAGATTCTAAATTCTAATCATCGTAGTCCCTGAACTATAATGTATAAGAAGTGTAAACATATCGCAAAGCCACGGTCACAGTGACTCTTTTTCAATAACGCATGGTGTAGCGGTGATAGTGCAATGGGTGCGAGTGCGTGATAATGGCAACGTTTCCCTGGAGGCGGCCGCGTGCGACTTACCTCTAGGCAACTGGCGCGGCTTGTTGAACATAGAGTCGAAATTCTCACGCAGATCTCGCGCTCCCCACCCTTCGCGGCTGCAACACATAACGTTAAAAATTCAACTTCTATCAAGTTTTAACTCAAATGTAAACTCAAGTCTAAATTTTTATGACGGAATCTACTAAGAGTACATAATTTTCATTAAATAGCAACAATAACATTTTTTGTGGTTATAGATGATTGACATTCTTCTCATTTTCTATGGAGTTGAATTAAGAGATTTTTTACAATTGAAAAAGCAAGTAATCCCTAATCAAAGGGGTAATTTTGTTTTTTTTTTATTTTCCATTACAGTAAATCGGGACTCACGTTTCTGATATACTTCTTTTGTTTTCCACATATCTATGGGTGCTGCATGTATAAAATAACACATTTATATTAAGACCCCAAAACAAAGAGATTAGACCTAAGAGCTACTACACAAGAATATGTAAGTGGAAATGCAACTCTGTAATTAAGAGAAGGAAGATCGCAATATACTATATACTAAAGGACAGCTATAAGCAAACCTTCGAATCGGTCCACTATGCTCCCTTTCTGCGCTAATTACGCATATGCGAATAGTGAGAGACAAATATTTATTTAGATCTTCTCTTTTACTAGTCGAATAACGTCTCGAGGTCTAGGTCACCGGCTCTAGTGTTTGTACATTTTCTTAAATCTTTAAGTCCTTTAATTATTACTATAGGAGGCTAGCGATACAAAAAAAATGCAACCGATAGTTAATTAATAGTAGAATCATTAGGAAACTATAAATCGCGATATTAAAGAAGTCAGTAAAATTCTATTAGAGTTCTAAAGTAACATTTATTTAAAATATATAAGTATGTAGTGAATTAGAAACGCAAAAAAGACAATTATAAAATAATTAAAATATACTCACAATAGATGTCTCCTTGGTAAGTGGGGGCTGCATGCATAAAATTAACATATATTAATATTTTAGTCGGATGAAAAATAAAGAAAAAAGAAAATTACATGCGTATATATTACATTATTGTTAAGTGGAGGATGATATTTAACTAACACATTAATCGTTGTTAAAATAAACAACTTAAAACATTTCGGTTTGTTTTATGAAAGAGAAAGGAAATAGACAAAAAATGCACAAATCATGGACTAAGTTGAGGTTCAAGATATTCCTTTGCTATACAAGGGATGAAGACTGTATAAAAAAAAGAAATTCTGTAAAAAACTGACTAACCGTCAGTCAAATAATAGAAAAATATTAGATACGTATTTTATTTTTTGCTTCAATTTAAACAAGAAGTGACTCAGATAATAGAAATTAAATTTGAGTTCTGTTTTGTGGAAAATGTACAAAGCGGGACGTCCTGTGAAATTCCAATTCAATGTGTCGCCGTAATTTTTTGTTTACGCGAAAAAGAAAAAAATACGTGTTTAATACTTTATCTACCTGACGGACAAACAAACAAAATTAGTCATCATCCCTTTAATCAGATTATGATGAATAATAATCTGGAATATTTTTTGCCTTGTAAAATACAAAAGAGATGCCCAAAAATGTATGAAGTCTGGGTAGTCCATCGGTCATTTGCACAAACGTCGATTAAGGTTTAATGACGCCTTTAAGCTCTAATGACTGTCAAATGTGTATCGGTAATGCCGTTCTAAACTAATGACATTTTTAATGGAAGTTTATAGAAATACTATCAACAGTTAATAAACGCAAGACTAATAGACTCTCATAAATCAACAAAAAAATAAGATGACATCTATCAATAGCTTAGACGTTAATGAAATCAAAAGAAATTAAGCACCGATCTGTTAGACACGCGATCTTAAGATCTTTAGCAATATATTCAGTACAAAAAATATTAACTTGTTTTATATAATATCTCAATTATTATTATGAGATAGTGACATATGAGATGAGATAGTTATACCATTTGAATAGATTATTATTAAAATGTCAAAGCGAGTATCTCATTGCTTAGTCCATAAAATGTAATACTAAATGCTGCATACACGTAACGATATAAGTCACATATGAACCAGTCGTATCTCTATGCATGTCCGTTGAATAGAGATGTAACAAAAAGATACTGACAAAATATGGTTTCAATTGTTTTCCTTTTAAAACAAAATACCTAATTAAATGAACTTTTGGTAGCCTTTTTCTCACGGATCCGGCAAACCGTACATATTTGTCTTACAAGTTACATGAAGGCACATCGTTTTACGATGTGTCCCATATTTGGTACTTTAATAAGTAATCTATAACATGAATAAATGTGTAAGGAGTATATACTACATTTTAAAAAGTGATTGTAGTAGTGCAAGAATATCGTTACGTGTATAGCTACCATTAGGAAGCTAGTCGAATGTATGGTTTGAGAGATCACCTATTGAAGAAAGGTGTCTGCAAATTGTTGAACAACGAGTGCGGATGCTGCGGGAATCCAGGACCCTCCTCTCCGTTCAAACGATTGGTGAGCGCTCGCACCTGATTTATGCCATACAAAACATTCTTAACATATTTTACCTACGATAATATTTATTAACCTTAGGGTCTGTGGAGATCTTACGGATGATCAGTCACGCGTCTCACGGAAGTATTCGATAGTTTGCCAGTTCTGCCCTTTCATAACGCATCTTCCATCAGATATAAAAGAATATGTCATAATTCACTAATAAATATATAATCTATATTATCGAATCCATGTTTAAATATCTTTTTATGTTGACCCTACCAATCTAAAGAACAATATTCAAATAATTTCCTGTACTAATAAAATAATATAATCGAAACTAGTATCATATTTTTTATTGAAATCATTCTTGTTCTATATAGTACCCGATGTAGAAGTGTGGAGAACAGATTCTCAGCAGTGAGAAGATGGAAGCCCTCATCTTCTTCGTCTTCTTCGCCTGAACTCACGGACTCGGCGCGGGCCGCTCTCGATGATCTAAAAACGTATACGTCAATGTGCACTTTAAACATAACAACAACACAACAAGACACCTTCTAATAAAAACCTAAAATTGTTCTTAGTATTTACAGCACTATATCAGACACCAGAAAATGTCATGAGAGTCTGATTTAAAAATTATTTTAATATATATTTTTTTTCATCAGTCAGTAACATTATAATTAAAGTATAAAAAATGCATCAAATTCAAAACGCTGAAACGCGAGGACAGACGACAAAGCCTATGCACAGCACGTCCATATTACGAAAAAGTTACATTGCTGGAAGAAGATCGAGTTATGCTTTTAATAATATCAGTTATATTACCAAAAGCATAACTTCGAAACCTGGAAATGTCATATCTCTAGTCGTAGACTGTGACGACACCAAAAAATCTGGCGTTAAAATATAAGTTAAGAATTTAATTTTTTTATGAATATTTGAGCTTGATACAAGATGAAATATTTTATATTATGATAGATTGTTGATATAGCTCTTAGTAATAATTAGTTAACAAATAAACATACCTCAATCTATGCATGTGCGTATCATCTTCTTCTTCTGATTCTCCTCCACTGACAAGACTGCTGTAAAAATATATTACACTCGTATCATAATATCAAATCATCAAAAATATCAAAAGGTCTTAACATATAGAGAATTCAAAACAGCGACATATATATAGTGCAAAGACTCTAAGAGGAACAGCTGTCAGCTAAACCAGGCTGCGAAGATTGGAATGTTGACAGCATACTAATTGAACTAATTAATAGATTGTATTGAGTTTATATTCATGCTTGAAAGCCAAAATATGACTTCCCTGGACTCGGGAACATTTACCATACGAACAATGATCATTATTGCAATTCAATTATCGTCTCCACCTACCTCAGGACGGAACAATCATATTGCCCACACTATGATGAATATATTAGCTAGGTTCTTTCTTCCACCGACGTGAAACCCATTTCACTTTGATGGAAGAAAGAACCTAGCTAATTTATCCAAATCAAATCTCTGGTATTTAGTAGAACCGGTTGTTGTTCCGCATATAGTACAAATTGGTATATAATTTTTGATCAGGTATGACAACAGCAACTCACATACACAACGTAGCGGTTGTCGGTCGTCCTTCAAGAATATAGTTTTCGAATTTTCAGATGGCATGCCAAGTTGCCTTTTGTCGAATAATTATACTCGTACGCGGTACATAATATACTCATGCACGGTGAGTAGTGCGTATACATGTGCGTACACTGTATGATCGCAGCCGATAGAGTACTCGTGCGCATCATCAATAGGCTATTAAAGTCCCTACTACTGGGGGTTCAATCGAATCAGTGTACTATTGCGCTAGTGGACGGTGTACTACTGCGCGGGTGGATAACGTACCTGACGCGCGGGTGGATAGTGTACTAGTGCGGGATAGCGTGCCTGACGCGCGAGTGGACAGTGTACTTGTACGCGGGTGGATAGCGTACCTGACGCACGGGTGGATAGTGTACTAGTGCGGAATAGCGTACATGACGCGCGGGTGGATAGTGTACTAGTGCGCGGGAGGATAGCGTACCTGATGCGCCTGGGTCGCGGCAGGCGGGCGGCGGGCGCGGCGTGCGCGTCGGGCTCGAGGCTGCGTTGCCGCGGAGTGACGTATCCCTTGCCCTCCACCGCGATGGGTATGATGAACTCGCGCGCGGATTTCTTGATCGGCTCGCCAGGGGAGCTGCACGCCTCACTAGCGCTCGACTCGTTTGACACCAAGCGTCTGATAACATTGAATAAAGCAATCCTTAAACCGGTTGACTAATTGTATAATTTCAAAATCTATTGCAATCATTTCCAAAGGTGTAAATTATAAATTTACACCCCTATCTTCATAATTCATGTTATCTCTCTCCATCCACTGGTTATCTGTAAGAAATCGCTCTAAGCGATAAGGCCGCCAATTGTTACATAATAGTGTTAATTTACTACAAATTTGTATCAATCGATTGTGCAATGTGAACAATAAAGAGTTTTGTATTGTGCATTGTATTGTATCACATACTCTTTATATCCCCTTTCAGTTTACCTACCGCACTTCAATGGAACAATATAACGTTTGAATTCGCAATTGCATTTTGGAACGAATAATAATTTGAATGATCAAGCAATCAATTCTTTCATTTGTCATTTCTCAAAGCTTTTTACTTATAACGCTTACTTTAACAGCATGGAAGAGTATGATACTATTCATTCATATTTAGACGTATCTAACTAACCAAATTTGTAGTTAATTACTAAATAAAATTAAAAAATTAAGAAAACAAGAATACCTTAACGGTGTTTGGGCTGGTTTAGGCACGGGTTTAGTCGGAGGCTGCGTGGGTGTTTGTGGGCTTTGAGGCGGCGACGTGGGCGATTCCTCCGCCACGTGTATGGGGATGATACGCTCCACTGACACGCCCCTAATAAATACAAGAACAATGTCAGCTTTCTGGCAAAAACTACCTGCAGAGCTTCTGAAACTTAACAGAACGAATATCCGTGCGATTGTACATTGGCATAAAACTAATTTGGCTCATCGACGTCTCTCCTCTCTAAATCAGAATGATCTAACTAGCACAACAAAAAGCGATTCGCAAGCCTGACTAAATGAACTTTTCTAATAAAGCCAGAGCTCAAGATATCATAAATAAGAGAGAGAGAGATCACGCTAAACATCTGTCTCGCTATACTAGCGCATGCGTAATTAGCGTTTCCGGTTCGTGCGCGAGCCAACTAGAGCTTGGCCAGTTTTTTATATAAATAAAAATGTGGGGAATATTGAAATAATGACTGCTCAAATGAGAAAGTATTTAAAAAAAAATTATTTCCCGAAATTAAACTAGATGTCGCTAAGGTACGTTCTTGATTTCTCCACGACAACCTTTCCGGTTTTCTTTCGTGTTTAAAAGTAAATTAGTTTTCAAAATTCAATAAATAACTCATATTCTGTTTATACTTTTCGTATTTGTATTGATATCTAAGTTCCGAGTTTTTCAAATTTCAGTTTTTTAATATATTGGTTAAAAGGAACGGAAATGACTGTCTTTGGTCCATACGTTTCCTGCAAAAATCAACTTTTGCTAGGGTCGCCATCTAGTGGAGGTGCATTTTTAGAACTGTCGTTTTTTTTTTAAATACTTCTTCATTGCAAAAAGAAAACATAAAAAAGTGTCTACTGTAAAAATCATTATCATCACCAGCCTATTAATGTTATTGAATCAAATAGAATAAGGAGAATGCTGTAAAAATAAAAATACATTACCTATTACGGTGATCTTCTACGCGATGCTGCGCTTCAGTGCGGAAAACGCGCGAGGGGGCGGGGCCAGCGGACGGCGAGGTAACCGGCGCGGTAGCGGGGGCGGGGGCGGAAGCGGAAGCGGGCGGCGACACTAGCGACGCCACGCCCGCGGACGACGACCGCCCGTAAGGCATCGGCGGTTTACCTGACACGAAATCTTTACCTCAGAAACCTTGCACGCAAATCGCAATTGTATGATTCCAAGACATTATATATTTTACGATGCCTGCTGTTCTTATTTTAAATATCCATATTATTTTACGTTAATCTATGGTGGATGGAAAACTATTTGTTTGATTCGTATTTATTGAATCGTAGTATTCATATAGCTGATCTTTTTCATTCCAGTCCAGAAAATTTCAAGGATTCTTCCTCGGTTTCCTTCACATGGATAACATAATTTTCAAAGTATTACCTTATCCTTACTCTTCAGGAAGAACATTCTGAAGACATAATATATAATATCTATACAATTATTTTACAGCGAATCCCTAATATTAAAATAACTATAAATGTACAAAGAAACTGGACCCGCCCAGTACCTTTGATCTTTGCTTTGATTATCAGTCAGACGTTTGCCTTTTATATATACGACTAATAAATTATTTAAATAGATGTTAATAAAACTTGATACAAACAACAACAAAAATGAGTAGTAGTAATACACATAATATTAATGATAACGCAATAACTTATTTATTCTTTAAAAACAGACGGTATCCCAAATATAGAAGAAACAGTTTTCACAAAATAATATTACTCACCAGTACGTATGGCAGTTGTGATTATGTCGCGAGCCGCGCGCCTGCGATTTTCTTCGCCGGCTTTCTCTTCGACCAGTTTGGCCATAGAATTCTGCAGACTTCTACAACAACAAAATCATAAAATTACCATCAATATCAAATCACGACCTTTCGCCACAAACATGAAGACCATAATCAAATCAAACCAAATTCCTTTCAACTGGAAATGTCTAATTTACGTATTGGAAATCATGATTCCCTTTCCAGAGGTAGGTGGCACTGTGTACATATTTATAAAAAAAAAATACGTTTGTGCCTACTCAAAAATTCCAAAGGTGTATAGGTGGTTATTAATTTATTTTTTATTAAGAGTTTGTTTCTTTTCATCTTTTATTGCTTGACTTCGAAAGCATATATCGGCACATTAAAAAATGTCTTTTGCTACTACCAGAAGGTCGGTAATGCTCTAACTCTTTGGTACTAACGTTAAATTCTGTACAGTAAGAAACCAGTGATGCAGCTCTATGGCTTGTCTGCGTAGAAAGTTACAATTCGAAGCACCAAATGACGGCCAATCAGAAGGATTCAAGTATCACGCTATCGGCCAATACACCAATATATATAGTATATAATAGCATCTGACACTCGCCGAGTGTGAGTGAGATGAAAACCAAATGCTTTAATGTTTTACACCTTATGGTAATTGCAACAATACACATTATCGATTTTAAACCTTTGTTCATGCTCAAAAGTAAACCGAAGGAAGTCTTATCTTAGATTTTTTCGATACGAGATTAATCCCTTAGTTTTCTATAATCGATAAGGCGATCATAGTACGTCGGAATTGGTAGACATTTGCACAAATAAAGACACAAACAAAGAACTTACTATAGTCATATTCGTTAGGATAATGTTCCTGAATTTCTCACAGATTACGAAGTTGATTTTTACCTTCTAGCGTCTTGCAGTAGAACGGAGGGGTCGACTGGCGCAGTAGCGTGGGTTGGTTCGCTCTCAGTCTTTTTGACGCCGCCACGATTCGTCTCCTCAACGGGCGTCTAGATAAAACAATAGATTTATTGAAGGTAATTTTATTCAAAAAATGATTGCAAATCAAAATTAATAACGTACATTATATGACGTAGTCAACCTAAATAGTCGAGTGGTACGCACGACGGTTTCAAGGTGTCGCCTTTTTTGATGTCTCGAGTTCGATTCAGGTCGGGTCAAAGTAGAAAATGGACTTTTCTATATTGCCTCGAGTCCGGATGTTCTTTTCCTTTCACCTTTGTTGTCTCAGATACTCCATAAAACAGGGGCTTTAGCTACTCATCTTGGAATTTTGCAGAGTAACGCTCGCAGACTGCATTCGGAATGAAGAGATAAGAATGATAGTGTCGATGTAAAAATCAACAGAAACATGCTCCGTTGGTTGGGAGATGTAGAAAAAACGCCTGATAAAAAAAATTACAAACCCGAAATTGGAAGGATGCAAAAGGCGTGGAAAGACCACGACACCTTTCACGATCAAATCAATCGTGTGCTCTTTCTTAGGTGATGTCAAAAGAGATAAAAACCGTGGATGAGGCGAAAGATGTATGAAAGAATCGTACATTTGGCGGGGTAGGCGTTCGATCCTCTCTGCCTATCCCGCGAGGGATACTGAATATAGATCTCGGAATCTGAACAATGAAAAGATGATGTACAAGTTGTTACGTACCTGTGCCGGTTCTATACCGATCTGCTGCAGCCGAACGGTGGTGTGTACAGGTTTGGGCGTGAGATCTCTATCCTCGCTGTGAGCTTTGGGCTTTGCAATCTTCGACGTGACGCGACTCTTCACAATATCCACCACTGGACATGTTTGAACAATATCAAAACAAAACACGTTATAGGGAATTATTAATTAACCGTGATGAAAGTGAAGATCAGTTCACTCCGTAATATGATTAGGACGTCCTTAATATGATTATCAAACAAGAATTAATATTTATCGAGCGCTAATTATAAGAAAAAGAAAAGCAATGGCCAAACGATAGCAAAGTCAAGACTCTAATAAAATTATTGTCGTCTAAAATCTATCATTATTAATCTATTTAACATTTTTAAGGAGAAGGGAGCACGTATTGACATCTTTTACGTAAGATCACAAAAACCCACAAAGTTAAGATAACATCTTAAAAGTGACTCCAAGGGCAAATTGAATAGGGGTGACATCTTTTTATTTATATTTTTATTTTATAGATATACAATACATGAAATATTTCTAAAAAAATATATATTTAAAAAAGTATAATAAATTAAAATCAAATAATATATTTAATTTTCGAAATTTCCCCCCAAAACGACAACTTCTGTCATGGCGACGCTATGACGTCACGCTCTTCTAAAACTAACATCGTTCTATGTATGCGCTGTTTGCGGTCATGTGAGTTGTCAGTTGTCAGTATAAATTTTTTTTTTTCATAATTAATTCAAGCAATAATATGAAAGTCTGATTATCGGTAATAATATATTAAACACTACCAGAAAAAAATAATGTATTTATTTTCGTTTAATGTCTACACCCGTATTAAATTTACCCCGAGAACGATGAGAGTGAAAATGGTTGCAAATTATTAAGTTAAGTAATTAATGTACCTGGTTTTACCGCCGGCCGTTTAGTATCCTGAGCCGATGTTAGAGATGCACGTCTCTCGAACTGATCTTTAAAGTTGCCGACGTTACCACCTATAATAAAAAAATCACGTTTTGTTCATATACAGCTTCTATTTCACCTTTTATTTTTCTCTTTTAGCATTCAATCAATTTTCAACCTTATTAAAAGGGTTGTAGAAATCAAGATGTTCTGAGAAGTCAAAATGCAGTTTCAAATATTAAACAACATCACATACATTGCTCAGATTCCGATGAGTAGCTAAAGCCCCCGTATTATGGAGCATCTGAGACAACGAAGGTACCACAACACCCAGACCCGAGAGAATATAGAAAAGTTAATATTCTACATTAACCCGACCGGGACTCGAACCCGGGACTTCAGAGATAGCGACCTTGAAACCGGAGTGCGAACCATTCGGTTAGGGAGGTCGTCAGAGGTGTATCAAAAACACAATTATCTTCTATTTTCACCACTGACTGTTTGGACGAAAAATAATCAATTCAAATTTGTTTATTATTATTTTTTTAATGAAAAAACATCCTGTAACTGTCGATATATATGTTAAAGTATCTTAGAAATCAAAACAGCAATTTTACCTGGTAGAGAGAGCTTCTTAGGTTTGGTTGTAGTCTGGTTGGCAGGCGCTGTTTGAGACAATGATAGTGATGTGAGTTTATCAGCGGCCGATACTACGGCATTTGGCTTTGGTTCTTCTACCTGATTGCATAAATAAACAAATTATTATAGTTAACGACTTTTATATAGAAACCTCTAAATCTCGTATTATATAGGTAGGTATACCTACTATACGAGGGTAGATCTAGGCTCGACGCAAGATAGAAAAATAACTTTTCTTATACTAATTGGACCTTGAAATATATTGAATATTTTCTCATAGTTATTCGAGCACGTAGGCCGACAAATTTTTTTAACGATTAACGATTTTATTGGTACATCACTATTAATATTTAGTAAAAAAAGTAGTAATACACAGATTGTCATTTTACTGCACTAAAATTCGAACTATTGGCATAAGTCATTCCGTCAATACGGTGTCAACTAATGTACCAGCAAAGAATGCTAAACTACAAAGCGCGGCGAATGTTCTCGACCAATCAGAATGATTCAAGTTACAGCCTCAACTTAATCCCCTTTGAAACGGAAACAAAACGCATTGTATGGTTGTTAAAACAAGACTGATTATAAATTTTAAATATATATTCAGTCATTAGATCGGAATTAATAGGTGTAATCTGTGAAAACAAAGATTCACACGACATAATGCATTAAGGTGGAGAACTAGACAGTTTTATATAGCCTGACGCGTTGTTGACTGTACGTATATGTAAAGCTCTGGGCCGTCATGTGCTCTTTAAAGCAATGCTAATCCGTACAGCGAGCGAAACACCGCTATCGTTCCGTATAACGCTGACCCGCTCGCTGTACGGATTAATCATTGCTATAAGCGGTATGGTAACCCTCCTGTTCGACTGTTACTCAATATGAAAGTGATAATATTTGTGTATGTACCTTGGTTTCTTCTTGTTTCTCGGGCGAGGGTTTTTCCTTGACAACAGTCTGTGAGGCTTTCTTCTTGAGAGCTACATGTGGTTTCTGTTTGTCGTTTAGCTCTTCATTTGCGGGAGGCTGTTTGGTCGCATCTTTAGCGGGTTGTTTGTTGTCAGTGGGAGCTGGCGTTATTGTCATGGTAGCTGAACTCTTCAATGTGGGTTGTATCGGCTGAAAGTGAGCATGTGTAAACATAACACTCATAGATCGATATTAAAGAAATCGTGGACTATGCCTAAAAATATTCGTAGGATAGAGCAAGATAAAGTTTACGATATGTGAATAAAAATTAAAATACTATTTAACGTGACTGTACTATTTAACAGCATTTCTGCTGACGATTTAAAATGACATTAATAAAACACGAACTATTATTAGACAACCAAATTTTGGTTTCCAAGTCTTTCGAAACATGACCCTGGTTTATATATTTACCGTTTCTTCTGGTTCAGGTTCCTCAGGTTGGTCACCGGCTGTTTCTTCAGGCAACGGTTCTTGCGGCGCGATGTTTGCACAACTAAAAAGAAAATGTTAAACAGTCATAAAACGCTATGATAAATACTTTTCATAATACTAATACTCGTACTTAGTAACCAAATTTATTTTATTTATTTATTTATTTTATAGTTTATCGTATAGTTTTAAAGACTGGGAAATATCACTATTGAATTATATGAACAACAATACTGAATGTTATTATAAAACATTAATGTTGTCTACAAAAAAAAAACTAATTTAGTTTTTATAGATATCGATAAAATACGATGCAACATTGAACAAAACACTAAAATAGATAATTTCCATTAATTAATAAGCTCATACCTAGCAACTCGTTCCTTTTTCCTCTGTAAACCGCTCGCTGACATAGCAAGCTCGAGTTTACGCTTGTTGTCTGTCGCCGATACTATTGTGCGTGTTGGAGACGGTTTTATGGCATCTTCTCCACCTTCTATAGATTGATATAAGGTTCAAAATAATGGTATTAATTTTCTATTAAATGTTTATTTTGGGACGTATAGTTAGCTTGTTGAATATGGGTATGTTCCGATATACACTGCGACCACTGAACAGTATGACGTCAATTTAGTATACTGGAAGCCCGTTCCTTTATAGCTAGTTATACTGGTGACTTTTTAAAACGGAACGCAGTCCAGTATACCGTTAATCCTATTTTTTGGCGCCATTTTCAAATTTGTTAATGGAAGGTGAATATAAAAAAAATATTTATCAATTAAATCCATCTTATAAATAAACGTAAGTATTTTTTTTTGTTTATTTAGAAACTTATCATTTTCTGATTCTGTTTCGACTGATCACGTGTTCAAAAGCACTGCGAGCACCTTATCTCGAAATCTCCAGTGCTCACAGTACAAATATGGCGGCAATTTATGACGTCATAAATTTCCCTAGGGTACTGTAGCAGTATGTTCCGTTATGGACTGTACTGGCAGTCCATAACGGAACGGATTTTTCAGCAGTAAGACCACTGCGCAGTGCTCGCAGTGTATATCGGAACATACCCTATATCACAAATAAAGAATCACTTTCCATACGTTGATTGACCTGTCACATGTTTTTTTAAAGATCGAGTCTACCTACAGTTAGTGATAATTTAAATTAGTTTTTGCTTAAAATATAATTATATTTTAGCATCTTTTCATTTGTAGGCGAGGGAGATTTGTAAATTGGAAATGTTTTGAAGTTATAACAGCTGTCAACCTCGAGATAATTGTGAAGCTACTTTAAAAATGCATAAAAATCAAAGCTTTTTAAAGTTTGACTTAGAAATAATTCTAATTGTAATTATTAATGTGCACTTTTTTTTATTTTTTTCGTTTTACATGAAACGAAATGTAGCGAACCGTCATTGGGTCCGAATCGCATTCGGGTACTCATCATAGAATTATTTTTTAAAAATTAAATACCTTGCCATTTTTATCCTTACTTTAATATTTAATTTTCTGTTATGAAATAAATAAAAAATAAGCTGCTTTTGAGATATATCATATCACTTGACGTGTTAGTAAATTTTTAGGTCAAAATTGGACATGATTGTTTATTTATTTAGCGACAGTTGGTATTATTACTTTTTCCATTATACACGTAATCAATTGATTTGATTTAATAATTAAATTTACAATTTAACAACACAACACATACAAATAGAAAATTTATTTTTTAAATAAAAAGAAAGGTATGATAAATACTTAAAAATTGACTTCAATAATACGATATATTGTAAACGATGACGACTAATATTTGTTTGTTTTTTCGTCATATTGTTGAAAAATATTAAACACGTATTTTTTTTCTTAAATTACTGCGATACATTGGGTTTAAAATGTCACATGACGTCACGCTTTGGTACGTTTTCTACAAAACTGTGATGTAGCGAGCCCCACTCCTCAACTTTAATGCCTGTTATCTAAGCTATTTCTTGTTAAATTTAAGTAATAAAAAATACGTATATAATATTTTTCTATTATTTAACTGACAGACTAAATAGAATTTCTTTTTTTTTCACTCAGTCGTCATCCCAATTGTGAATTAAGCTGAAGAATTTTTGTTTTTAATTATTTGCGGCT